ATAAGAATCAAATAATGTTACCTATAAAGGAATTCACAAAACTAACACAACAGTCAACGACGTCTGCCCTCACGCGTCTACCCGCGGTCAGTTCGCGTTCTCGGCGATGACGCTTCATTGCTTAGACCACCCCTCTACCACCGCGCATCGTTCCCCGTCGTTTTACAGTAAACGCGACGTATAATGTGCTGCGTCAAGTTAATCTTATCATTATAACTTTTAAACGATTCGTTTGAAATACTTAGTGTAAAATACATCTATATTAAATGAAGTTCATCTATATTAAATACCTCAAATGACAATTGTATCAATTATCATAAGAATTCGACAGTTATTCTAAAATGTGCATAATGAAAAAAGTATCCAATTTATTTGCATGTATGACTCAGTATTTTGCATATAGTGGCAACTACATGAGAGGTAGATATATGCTATCGCGGACTTTTGTTCAGAAATATTCAAGATGAACAATCTCACGGCACATTATCTTCATGTTACTCCAACGGTATAGGCAGGGTACGCCAAGATAGATCTCAGGGAGAAAGAATTTTTCCGACTCACTCAATACTTATCGTCATATTATTACCAAAATTACACGAAACCTCTGTAAATAGGCTTGTTTCATGCTATGGAAAATGATACTGGTTTGCTTATAGACTGATCGAGTTAGGGGTATATTATACTTATCAAGCCTTATCGGTCCCATGATCTCTTTAGATTTACATAAAAAAGAATAAATCGAAAAGCAAGAATTAAAATCGGCCGCGTGTCTGTTGACCAATAAAATTGATCGTGTGTAGTGCGGAGTTGCCAAATGTATTGGTTTTTATTATCCAATCAATCCAATTTGACGGACGCCATTTTTGTTGTTATTGTTGTCAACTGGGTGTGAAAACAACTGTTACAATTATCTATCTCTCTGTATCTGTAGAGTAGGGAGGGTGAGTGTAAGCCCACGCACTTAGGCCACATGTGACCCATTGTACATCCTCCCGAGGAGTTGTCCTCCTAGATCCTCGTCCATCCTATCCTTTCCAGGAAGGTGGATAGTTCGCTGGGAGACATCTCCTTTATATCGGCAGGTGTAGGCCAAGACTCGCCAAACACACAGTCTCTTATTGACGATAAGCCCGTTAAACTTCTTTTCCTGGTGAAAAGGACCATCTCAGTCTTCTTGGGATTGATCGACAGTGAGTGTTCCTCACACCATGTTTCTATTAATTCAAGCCCATCCTGCGCTCTATCGCACAGTGTGTTTACAAATTTCCCGGTCTGCAAGATAACTATGTCATCTGCGTATGCAATTGTGTAGACTTCATTTATGTTAAGGTGATTAATCAGGGTATCCAGAACTTTGTTCCAGACCTCTCCCTGTGGACATCCCCTCATGACCTGTCCTTTCACTGTGATGTCTTTTACATTAATACTTATTGCTCTACTAGAGAGCATCTGGAGTATCCATTCTCCTACTACCAGGGGTACATTTCTGGAGTATAGTTGCTGGGTAATTGTTGGAAAGGTTGTTTTATCAAACGGTTCCTCGATATCAATGAATATGCCCAGGGTGGATTCTTTGTTGTCCATTGATCTCTCGATTCTGCCAACCACATGTTGAAGGGCCGAATCAGTAGACCTTCCTGGAGTATATATGCATGCTGATTTGGATGAAGTGGGTTGTGAACAAGTACTTCATCTCTTATGTACCGCTCACATAGCCTCTCCATGGTTTTTAAGAAAAACGATGTGAGACTAATAATTGGTCGAAATGCTTTTGGTAGGGTGTAGTCCATCCTACCTGGTTTGGGTATAAATACTACTCTTACTCCTCTCCACTTACTGGGAATATACCTCAGACCTAGAGGTATAAGGTGCTGCATAAGAATGTCCAATTGGACAATTATCTAATTAAAGAACGTTTTTTTTTTGTGAAAGGTAGGTCTCGGCGGGTGCCTATTTTGCTGCATATTCCGTGTCATTAGTTTACATTCCGAAAAATATATTTTCAGGTTATTTTTGAATTGAATTTCACCATTACTACCATGGCCGAGCTAAAATAAAAATTAAATCAAATCTTTCCATCCTTCGATAAAATACAAAGTCTGAAATGAATGTCATATAAATAAAAGTAACCTTCTAAATATACCACCTACCGTTTGAATTTTTCATTTTTCATTTCGGTTCCACAGTATTGCAAATTTTTCAAGTAAAATTCATCGATCATTTCAAAATCGACTCTTGGTAAGTTGTCGGAGTCAGCTTTAACAAAACTAGGCTCAACATTCATTTTGAAATTATTTTGACAAAAATACGAAATTATGTATAGAAACCATTGACATTAGAAAGAGCACATTTTCGCGTACACTACAGAGGGCGCTGGCTGATTGGATGACAATATGGCTAATGTATCAGTAACGTTGAATTTCTTGTTTTTGGTGGGTGGCATGAATGCATAGATAATTGATTTATTTCATTAGGGTTCGAAAACCATTTGAATATACAGCTCATTAAATTCTATTTAGAATCATATTTAGATATAACTTATATTATATCAGTTATCAAGGCATATATTATTGTCCATTTTCATGCTTAATTCGTGGATTCGAGGGATCTGGTTTCATTCCTAACAAAAATGAATGAATAATTACAGGAAATTTTAATTGATCGTTCATTTTCTCAGGAAAATGAAGTACACATATCAAAATTTATTGATGTATTCGGCATTAAAAATGTATGTCATATCGGATCCATTCTGCTTGTTTTTGCAACATTGAGTTTCAACTTTTTCTTAGAGCTCGCGTAGGGACAATTCGTTTTTTCATCAAGTTTAGTTTGTGTATGTTCTGAAAGTGTTTAAGAGATATATTTGAACATTAATATGGTGCATTCTTGTGGTGAGTTTAATTGTGTGGAAAGCACAAGAAAACAGAAAGCGCATTGGTTTATAAGTGAGTTATTTCATATAATGAGGTTCCCAAAGGATAAAATGATGAGAAAAAAATGGGTGGAAGTATTGAAAAGAAAGAACTACAATCCTTCTACCCTTCCAAGACTTTATAGAAATCATTTAAAAAGTGACTATAAATGAAAGGGGGACGAAAATATTGAATTTGATAACACAATTTTTTATTTCAACTTCAAGTATCCTCCACATAAAGTATTATCTGGAGTTAATACTGTTGCTGAAAGTATGATACATTTCACTTCATTTTATCATATGCTTAATGGTAATACCTCAGAAGTTTTTATTCGATCAGTTCGAGTACAATCAATTCTGTCTTTACTTGACCTCACTCAACCTACCTCTCAAGTTTTGGAAGATTCAACAGATTACCCAAGCGAGCCTACAATGCTTGAATTTACTAGCAATATTAGACACAGGTTTGTATGTAGGAATCTTTTTTTTATAATAAATTGTAGTTGTAAAGATTGAGGATTGTAGAATAAATTGAATATTTGAAATGATTTTTCAATCCAATTCGCAAAATTTTTTCATTTTCATAACTGTATATTATTAAATAATGCATAAAATCATAGTTTAGGTGAATGATTTGTGATCTTTCGACTTTGTGTACTGATTTTAGATATAGAACTTATTTCCAAACATGATTTTTCGTGTACATTTTATTCCATGTGGAGAATGTTTCATTAATGGAAACGTTAACGGGTTCACATACACTTCCATAACTGAATTGATAATTATAAGCTTCGTAAATTTTACGATTTGGCAATGTTGATTATTTCTATTGTTCCTATTGGTCAATCGAACAAGAAGCGAGAATAGGGCCGTGACGTCACCACCCTACCACATTCGATTTTTGATCATTAATTACGAGAAAACTACGGTACTTAGAGAGCTGAAACAAAGTGCACTGTTTTTCAGTTTGAAATTTATATCAAGTGAACTCTAAACCAAAAATCATGAAACAAGCCCATTATATAGGTAATACTGATGTATAAGCTGTATTAATGTGAAGTTTCATCTAAATCCGTTCAGTCGTTTAGGCGTGAAAGAGCCACAAACATACCTACATACATTTTTCCATCCTCACAAACTTTCACATTTATATTAGTATAGATGTATATGTATAAGAGCGACTAGTTTCAATCACGCAATGTCCAATAGAAATTTGTTCTTATAGATTTTTCTTCGATAAATCCGTGTTGATCGGGATGTATAATTTGTTATATCGACACAAACTCAGTCTTTTCTTAAACAATGATAATTTCATTGACTTTTGAAAGACAAAGAGTAGACTAACTTATACTTATAAAAACTGAGTATTGTGAAGTTCAAGAAACACTTGAAGGAATTCCTTCTGAGTAACTGCTTTTACTCGGTCAATGATTACATTCCAAATGATTCAAATCGGTAACATGCTCACATCGAAACATACACGAATCATTAGTTTCTCAACATATTTTATATGTCTTTAATTTTTCATTTCAACTATTTCAAATATCTAATCATATCTCTGTGTAATTTGAAGATTTGTATTTGAAATAAGCATCTTTTATATGGCTTTCTACTAACATTCTTTCGAATGTTGAATAAATCTTATGTTATCTTCGATAATTATAATGTTAAAGTTTGTCATCTATTTTGTTTATGGGAACAAACTTTCTGGCCTGGTTCCTTTCGTTCAATTTATTGACTTGATGTTTGTAAGCGAAACCTTGATATGAATAATATACTCCATTTGTTTGTTTATATCCTCTTTAAAACCCGAACCATTTGAACAACCCACATATAACCTCTTGCAATTAACCTTGTCAACAGTGACATGGTGATTTAACTTCATACATACTCATATGACGCACTCCACTGCTCTCCAGCTCGTGGTTACTTTCAAATCGGTTCAACAAAACCACAAAGACAACGCCAACGCACAAAGAGAAAAAACCGCGAGATTAATATCAGTGAAACCGATTCGTATCATTACCTGCCACAAACATAAATAAACATCGTGATGCCCATAATAATGGAGAGCAATTTCACTTACCGATGTCATGTTGGAAATTGTGAAATCGTTCATGCATTATCACTTCTTCGATCGGGATCCTCTCTTCGGATTTTTCCTCGACTTCTCTGTCCCAGTCCCCGACGACGGCGGTCCACAAGGCGGCCAGGGGGAGATTGAAAAGGTCGCTGGAATTGAAAAAAGGTGAAGGGTAATCAGAAGAAGTGCAACAATCAATAAGGTGAAGTTATTTCAATTATCACCATTATACTAAAGAAAATTCCCAAAAAACGTCTTCTTTGCGATCGTACCAAAAGTTATGCCTGCATAGCTTGTTTAATATGATTCATTCGTAGTTAAATACATTTACATAATGTTGGTCACCAGAAATTCTGATTCAGGCACTTAGGCCACATGTGACTCATTGTACATCCTCCCGAGGAGTTGTCCTCCTAGGTCATCGTCCAACCTGTCCTTTCCAGAAAGATGAACAGGTCACTAGGAGACATCTTTATATCTGCAGGTGTAGGCCAAGACTCACCGAACACACAATTTCTTATTGACGATAACTCCGGACACTCGTATAAGACATGCCTGACAGTTTCATCTTCTTGTTCATACATCCTGCATCGTATGGAATCAAAGGATGCAGTCTTGCCACGATTACCCTGGGCGACCCTGGGAAGCTGGCACCGAACAAATATCTGGCGATGAACCTGGAAAAGCCTACGCTTGACAGCAGGATTTCTGACTGGTCACTGCACCTACATATTATGGGGCTAGTGGACACGCCTCTAAGCAGGATGTGTGAACAGGACAAAAACATATTCCAAAGCCTTCAATCCTCACAAAGGGAGTGTCATTTCGTAATTGTCACAACTTGTTTATAAAATCGAACTAATCAGTTATAATTCAGAGAATGACCATTTTTCCGTATGATTTGTATGAACAGCACCAATGTTCATATAAATTCAGATTCAGGTTCAATTTATTTTGTACTTAAAAGTTGACCTTGTGTTGAGGTTGACCCTGACGGTAAATGCATTTCCTTCTCTGGAGGGAAAAATTATTTATTCGCGAGTGGAAGTGACAATTTTTCAACCAATTATCCTATAATTTTTCCGAATAAGTCAAAAAATAAGTAAAATAAGTAATTTAGTTTGTAAAAAACAAAGAGTGTGTAGACAATGACAGAATGACAAATTTTTGAAAGTTTCCATGTGAAGTAATAAAAAAACAATTTATATTTTGATTTTTTCATAAAAATGCCCAGCATCAAAACCAAGCGAATTATGAAGGATATAACGTCGGTTCGTTTTTTTATGACAAAGGAAATATGAAAATCTTCCCCTAGTGATAATAATCATTATCACTTCACAATGGACTCTCTTCATATTTGACCGATAAGAAACAATATCTATCTATCTTCAAAGAACGGCAAATCAAAAATACAGAAAAATTCACAGGGGTCTGTCTTGGGACCACTCTTATTCATCGTTCATTTTATTGACCTGAACTTTTAAATTATGATACGGTGTCAAATGCGGTGTCTCATCACAAAAAATATTGTTGTCTCCGTACCACTATCAATCAAATCGAAGATAAAGCTGAAATATCATACAAGCTTGAACTGAATAGAATGAAAACTCAAACTATTACCATCTCCAGTCATAAAAATATAACAACTGGCAGTTCTGAATTGAAACAGGGAAGGCATCCACCCCTAAGTTGGGAGTCTCCCCAGAACAGGGTTAAATCTGTAGTAGAACTTCAATCAAAATTTTTGGTGGTGTTGTTTGGCAAATTTATATCGCCTTGTTTCAATTTCGATGATTGGATTATTGGAAGATATTAGAGATATTAAATGAAAACCTTCCATATCAGTCTGAATGAGAACCATCACCAGCCCATCTTCCAGTAATGAAGATTATTTCTGGAATTATAATTCAGAATTATTCAAATTATATTCCAATAATAATTATTCAACTTATTTTAATAGTCAACATTTCCAACCGGAAAAAAATTGTGAAATTCTCCGAAAGGTCAATGAAAAACAAAAAATTACTTTTGTTCAATATTTCTTTCCCGTTATTAAAAATTCTAAAAAAGTAAACGTGAAAATTAAGCTGATAATCATTTAGGTTTTTGAAAGTGATGGTAACTTCCAACTATCAAACTAGATAAATTTAACGGGAAAATTTCAGTTTTACACTTTAGAGAAAATATTTTTCTTCCAAAGCCTCTTTTAAAACTAGTTGCGCTGCTACTGCATTTTTATGTAATTCCTTCTAATGAGGTCAATAAGGTACTACGGTATAGGATATTGACATACCGATCAAGGCCGTTGTGATGGACATTGACCATGTTTGAACCAAACCAGATCTGGATGATGGGGAAAGTGATACGTGTTTTGTGGCGAATGTAATAGCCCAAGAAACAAGTTCATTTCCAACGATTTCCTGTTCACCTTCACTAGAAATTATGACTGAGGTGTCATTTGATTCAAAATAAAATCTAGGAACTTTTAGAAAAATTCAAGGTACCGCTCATCATATATAAACATACAAGTAAATAATATTATTTAATCAATATAATGAATCACTTTCGCTTGAAATCTGACTTTGATTACCCATTGGAATAATGAAAAACCTGTTTAATCATTATAACATTAAAATTGACAGTTCAAAAATAACTTTTCAAAACGCCCAAAGGTGCAAACTCGTTTCCTCCTTTTCATAAAAGAGGATGTATGCATCTCCAGTCACAAGCGATTTTGGTGAAATTGGTAACACGTGTAAATCATTGTATTTGTGCCACGTGCCAGTATTGAGATGTCTGCAGAATGCTGTATAATGTCCGCTGTAGGTAGACCCACTGTGATTCGATAGTGCATATAGATTATAACGACAAAGAGTCACATTGTCTGCTGCATAATTGTTCATATCTAATTCATCTAGAGGAACAACATTTAACTTGCCTCTAAATCTTTCTGTTAAAGGGAATTTTTCAAAATGAATGATTAAAATACGGGGAAACTTATGAATTGATAGAGACTTTGTGCATTTTCTTTCTTCCTTGCAACTCAAACACGTCGGTTTTTCATGTCCATCCAAAATTTCCTCTCTTGTGAAAAAATGCAAGCATTGTGATAAACTTGGCCATTTCTTTGTGGTATGGGGAGTGACAAATCCCAAGGTTATAGATAAATGTCCACAGTGGTGCACTTCATCGTGGATTTTATTTGACTAACGAAATTATCTACAATCTTAGAGTTATTTGTACCCGAATAAATCAGCTATGACTCTTGTGCTTTTTCGTTAATCTTCATTAGGATCGGTTTAGGTTTCTCATTAACTCGATTAAAGTCATTATGTAAAAAATATGAAACGAATTTTGTTGAAATTATCTCGAGAAGTGGAAAAGAAAGGTTTTGGATTTCTACTTCTACTCTATCTTTATAAAAAAAAGTGGGAATCTTCCAAAGAAAGGAGCGAAGCATTGAATTTCAAAAAATCAACTCTACACAAACTGAAAAAAAAATCCATTGAATCACAAAGTTTATATGAAAGTAGCTGTTTCAGGAGGGCTTTTGTATATACCTAGATTTCTATAATTTTTGTCTGAACAGGGAGAAGTAGAAAGCCAAAAACTTTCCCGAAAATTAATCTTTCTCCGTTTCAAGTTAATCTCGAGAAGTGTTATGAATATCCGGAACATGAAAAAAATATCTTGAAAGAGGCAGTCTCAATAAGAAAGTTACAACATCTCAAATTGAACTATCAGTATTCATATCAATATATCAACATTAATTCATCTAACTAAGAGTGACGACATTCCCGAACGCGCTGGCTGATCCGCTCCCTTTTCAAAAAAATATATGTTCAACTCCTAAAATATAAATAGGGAATGGAAAACTTCATTTTTCATTCAGATGCATGAACGAACAATTTGAAAATTCACGTAGAAAACATGTAATTTTTCACTCTTTTATACTTTTTGAGTATATTGTGTAAAAATTTTACGTTGGAAAAATATTCTGTTCCATTTTGTAATAACGGTATACTGTATAAATGTTATCATTATGAAAAATGAGACATGAAACTTTCTATGTTCGGAGTTTAGTAGTGTTTATGTGGGATAATGTGATCGATATTTCTTAAAACGGTATGCTGAATATGAAAGCTCCCTCAGACGTTTCAGATTCGACGTTTTCATACCATTTGTTGGGATGCAACAACAAGTTCCCGAATCTAAACGATACGGGAATTCTGCACTATGCAAGGAAGGGTTGTAAACTCAATTATTTGGAATCTTTGGAAATTCATAGGTAAGCAAAAGCATTGCGGGTACAACTTGTTGAAAGATCAAATCGATCTAGTTTACTCACTGGTTTTCAAATCAGCGTACCCACATTGGCAAAGGTAAACAAAATGCAGGTACTCAATTAAGTTAAGTACCACTGTCATTACCTTCATCTTCGAAAGGAAGATCAAACTGATCTTTCTCTTGATCACTTGGTGATCGAAACATGTGTCGAGGTGTTACAATAACGGTTTGGTATAATATTCACCTACAGTGGTGGGAGAGTAACGCTAGTTACAAATAGAAGTGGTAAAAAACAGAAAGTTTCATTTCCCATCTTTCATGATGAGTTCCTACCACGTAGTAATTAACGGCTACATCCATCAATTTATATAATCTTTAATTTTTTTCAATGCCAATGTTTTGAAATTGTTATAAACTAATGTATTGCTGGCAATTTTTTTCTGAGAATTTATTCATTGCTGGAAATAATGAATATCAATAATTTTTTTAAATACTTATCAATTGAAAAAATTGCACATTTTTTTTTGTTTATAAAAGTTTTGGTTGAATTTGATAAATTATATATGATACGAATTATACAACTTTTGCCAGAGAATGTTTATTTAATGCGCATTTCGCTTTACAGTATCTCAAAAAGTTTTTACATAACAGTATGTCCTTACAAAACTCAATTAAATAAATGAATAATTTTGGTATAAACAGGCAGATTTTGGTGAAAGAACATTAACATATAATTGCATATAAGATTAATAACTGTATCAGTGTATTCGTTAAATGAACAAATGAAAAATTCACATTTTTTTCTAGGGAAGATGAATGAGCAATATCAATAATGATCCTTTATTTTCAATATTCACTATCAATAAGTTGACAAATGGCTCCTTGAGTAATAAAAAAAAATTGGAAATTGTTTTAGAAAATCATTATTTTTATTATTTACTAAATTCTCAGAAAATAATATGAATACAAACGATGTATTTGTTAATAACATTCTTTCAGCAACAGAAATGGGAACATTTAAGGAAGATTATTCATCATACAGTTAAAAAATCAAGTTGATCATCAAAATATCATGATTTTTTCAACGGGAATCTGTTTCAAAGACTTTTACCAACAGACTCAAGAAATGAAAAAACTGAATTTCACATTTTATATGTGTATAACATTCGTCCACACAGTCAACGCATAAACCATTGATGGTGTGTGCCGCAGAAACAGACGAAACGTTAATTTCTTTTGGTCCCATTTGACCACTACGCACCAGCCCAGATTTTGTCATATTCAATGATATTTTCAGCAGCCAGTCAAAGTATCCTTCTTGATTTCGACAGGAATTAACAGGAATTAACAAATATTTCAAATCCACATAGGAATGTTATCTATAACGAATGAAGAATATTTGTATCAATCAAACAATGTTGGTATTTCGAAAAAGTTGAACCCTAATTCCTCAACAGTTATTCACAAAGCCAAATCTAATAAATAATTTCAGCTACCGACGAACAATAATATTGATAATCCAATAATACCTCAGTATTTTTTATTCCGAATCATAAAATTCAATTGGAATAACAAAGATCACAGTGACATTCTCAATTTCAACGAAATTTCATACGAACTCAGTTTGTGTCATTCTCAATATGTTTCCAAGCTTAATTCAATTACCATCGGTGACAGAGTTGACAAAAAGACCAAATAGAGTTAGGCAGTAATGAAACACCTCTTGGGACATGGAAAAATATGAAGCCGGCAGAAATTTGATGCTATCAAAATGTAACCTGTAATCGAATAGAATTATTCGAAGAAGCAGTTGAAATTAGTTTACTGAATTTATTGTTTCAGTAAGTTTATATATCAGTACACTGGGAAAAATGTCCGGGATGTATTTGCAAAAAATATCTCATAAATCATATTCATATTTTCTTCATAATCAGAATCGAATGTAGAAAGTCGTGATTTCTGTTTCAATTTGAGATCATCAGCACTGTTAGAGAAAATCGGATTTTACTGAATGAAACAATTGCTAGATCTAATGCTGCGACCTCAAGAACCATTTTCCGAAAATAAAAGGAAAGGAGAATCATAGTAAGGAATATAATTGCCATGAATTTTGAATTTTTAAATTTTCATAGAATTGGATGGAGGTATTGCTAAGTGAGAAAGCTGTGGGTACTTTTAAAGCCATTCACATCTGGGGAGCGGGGGTTTCAATATCTGAAGTTGCTAAGCGAAAATTTTTGAGTTGTTTTTCCCATCAGCTGGCAGCATTGGGTCGGATTTCATCATCCTTTTTGGTGATCGATTGTTATATGCGATCTTCTTTTATCTCAAGCAGAGAATATAGCGTAACTGAAATACAGTACACGCCACGGCTGATGGCGAACGATCGCGCAGGTATAGATTCTCCCAACTAAATTACTATTGTATTACTCTAATTAGTTTTAATTAGGATAGCAAATGAAACATGACTTCTTTGTAATTTATTTTCATATTTCATTTAGTATTATAGGTAGTACAGTTTATTGATTTTTGGGAAAGAAAGTTTTTGGCTTTCTACTACTCCATCTTGATACGTCATCTTGATAGAAAGCCAAAAACTTTCTTTCCCAAAAATTAATCACTCTTAAAAAATATAACCCCTTCAATTCAAAAAAGTTCATTGATATGTTATATAATGATACACTTACCCAAACATAAACTATAATCAGTCACTATCTTAATACAAATTTTCTTCATCTTCACTGCTGATTGTGCTGCTACCGTCATTTAAATTTATAATCATTGGATTCATAGTCGAAGTAACCGGTATTGTGAATAGTTAAAGCTATGGGTGAGCTCAAAGGATAAGAACAATACAAAAAAAAAGATTCCGCTGTCAACTAGTCTACGTGGATTGAAGAATTGGCGGTTTGTATTGGATAACTTTTACTAACCGAGTTTTATGATTGGCTGAAGAGTCATAAAATTAAAATTGAAGTCATGTTACAGTGACGAATAGAATGTGGGGATAAGTATCGCCGTTGTGTCGTCAATGTTCAGTTCAGGAACTGATCGCGATTTGAGTGTTGAAATTCGATATTGGTGAAGTTATAATTACTCAAAATTTTTGTTATCTGTTCAACATGTTGCATCCTTGGACAAGTACTAATGGTATTAACATCAAAATCATTGAAAAAACAACATACGACTGTTACAAAAGCAAGATTCCTACAACTGAAATCATAAAGAAGAAATTGAATACTTCCGGCCATAACGTGAGCTGATGTAATAAAACTCTTAGATGAAGAAACTAGGATTTAGATTTAAAATAATAAACAAACGTCAAGCAGTTATGGAAAGCAGAAGAAAAGTGGAATTGCATAACAAATACTTATAACGAATAAATAAATATAGACAAGAACAACGGCAATTTTTCTATTTCGACGAAACTTGGTATGACACTTACGACACAGTTACGAAAGGGTGGACTGATGGTTCGAGAATGTGTACGCATGACATGCCCGCAAACAAAATATCGCGACTAATATTTGTGCATTGCGGAGGAAGTGAAGAATGAGTTCTGAATTTTTTGAAAGTACGCGGAAAAAAACTTGAGAAATCTAAAGAAATGAACTTTAAACGTTCAAGCCAATCTCGGATATACCTACACTGTAGGTTGAATGGGCTGACGCCTATCAGAAAACAACTACTCCCCTGGCTAATATCACGAAGGGCGTTGGATTATATCCGACAGGCATCGATGCAGTAATTTTCAAAAAATTTCCTGTATATGCAATTAGCGATACAACGGACTCATTAGCTACTCGTCAGTGCAAGATTAAAAATTATTTCACGTACCTGACTCTTAATGACTGGTTTTTGTTACAACAGAGAATTTGTACGTCTTGCAAGAGCTGTAGGGGGGTCACATTGAACATATGTTTGTGCGTATGGGGGCGGGCTCGCCATCAAGTTTGGCACTTGCTGTATCAGTTTTTTATCTTCACCTACTGTAATTGTTGTTGGCTTTTTTTGATTGATTCATTCGTAAGCTATTTGAAAGGATTTTGTTTCGTACGTATTTTACCTTCCGGTTTCCGTCCGAAAAAAACTGCATGATTTAAACATCTTTGTTGGATGTATCCAATTACTGTATTCATTTTTCCTCTTTCTGTATAGTGGAGAAGTGAAAAATCAAACATTTTTTTCCAGAAATTAATCTCTTCTTGGAAAATTATCCTTTTTTAATCAAACTTGCACTACAATGTCAAAAGTGTCCTAGTTTTCTACAGGAGCCGACAATGGAAAATAACTTCAATACTTACTTGTTGATACAGTGAGCGGCAGTTAATAACCATTCGGGGGATATCATCACGCCTCCGCACCAGTGCCCCAAAAATCCGAATTGAGGATGCAGCAGCTGCAGCGAAACCTATAAAATTGAAAGCGAATTAGGGTAAATCAAATCTTGAAGTCATAGATTTATCAAATGAGAGCTGTGATTGTCCGGGTTAGGTAGCGTAGCCATGGTCTAATGGAGAGAACCTTTTGAAAATAAATAACGATGGGCAGTCTTAGCTGGTAGCAATGAGTTGCGACCTCCTGGTGAGTACATTCGTGAATGAACTGGTTAACTTTCATTGAGAATCACCATCTCAGTTACAGTGAAAACGTTCGGAGCCATTCTTTCCATTAGACCGCTGCTACCTAGTCTGAAAAATGATAATGAAAATAATAACGTTGTACACAAAGAAAGAAGGGTTAGCGGGATGCTATATATTACCTGTGCCATGATAAATCAAAAATTATCGTGTGGACTACAAGTAACATATAAACAACAGAGAGAAAAAGTGATAAAATAAAAATCATCAAGAAGAAATAGTCAAAGATGCCTTCTTTACGCTGAAAGCAGTCAATGACATTTTTGGGTATAAAAAATGAATTTTTGAAGTTAGTTTTTCGAATTGATATAAGGAGCCATGTATATAGGGTACATTATTCAGAAAGTTAGGTGCAAAGTTTAAAAAAACATTTCTCAAATTCAGCCGTAATATGATTGGTATGGGGAATGAGTCGTTTCTAATGTTACCAGGATGGTTATCGGATTTGTTTCTGTGTGAACTATATACATAATCTGGTATTTTCGTCTTTGATAATTCATATATGAATTGAATAATGATAATGATAATAATAATTTTATTGCTTCTAAAAAACGGGTTTGCAGCAAGAAGAATGCGTGTGTGAGAATACAATATATATGAATAAGTTCATCCAAATTGTTTGTTGCATTGTTTGTTTTGTTTCATAACAGTGTAAATCGGGCATTCAAAGATGATATGAAATAAAGTTTCGGCGATATTACTAATGCAAACAGTGCATATTACACCTGGATCGATCGCATACACAATTTCATTCAATGTGAACTTGATTTTAAAATGATTGGCCATGCGTAACTGTGCAAGAGTGCGGGTAACTTGTATAGGTAACTTTAACAGCATATATAACATACTAGAATCCACAATGCCGGAAATTACTTTTCGACAAAGTCGAGTCAGGCGAATTTTGAAACAGCCCAATATAACAAGGCGTCTGGCCCTGATGAAGTGCCCGTCATCGTACTTGAAAAGTGCGCAAATGAACTTGAACCAGTATTTTGCAGACTTTTCAACCTGTCTTACAAGAAAGGGGTTTCTTCTTCTTGTTGGAAGATTGCTCGCGTTCAATCTATTCCCAACAAGGACAAGAAAAATTTTTCAAATAACTATAAACCAGTCGCTTTGCTATCAGTGATATGAAAAATTATGGAGAAAGTTGTAAACCTAACACTAACGTTTTAGAAATCACACGTTGAAAGGTAAGACCTCGTTATTCCTTAGCTCAAAAAGCTCAGATCAGATCTTGTTTGGGGTATTGTTTTCGTGTATGGAGCTCTGCCCCTAAACATACCCTGAAGTTGCTGGATTCCATCCAGAAAAGATCGATACGCCTAATTGGAGATGCGAACATCAGGTGCGATCTTGATAGCCAGGAACACCGAAGAAAGATTGGAGATTCAACTCTTCCCTATAGATACTTTCACGGAAGTGTTCAAGTGACTCAGCACATTAGATTTCATCAAGAGCGGTACATATCAGAAATACGCGACGAACTGTGGCTGCTCATCGTTTTGAGGTTCAACTTAGTACACCTCGAACTTCACTATTTGAGAATTTTTTCATCTGAAGAACTGCGTTTATGTGAAATAAACTTCCTGAGAACGTTTTTCCAAATCGATTTAATCTCCAGCTTTAGGAGCGCCTTGAGGATTTTCTTGTAGTGCTTATATTTTGTCCCGTGAAAATCTCACAATGAAGTGTTTCTTGAATACCTTATAGATTTTTATCAAGTATCTGGCGATTCCATCACGTATTATATAACAATAATGATATTAGATGATGAATTCTGAACTCAAAATCTAGTTGTTCTAATTTCAACAGGTATGGAGTCACATGATCAGAATTATAGCTGGAGCTCCATTCGACGCACACTGTCAACCACTTTCATAAAATTAGGAATAATATCTTCACCCTCTATGTTAACGTTCTACTCACTGTTAGAAATACTTAAAAACAAAGTACTGCTCTACAAGTATCCAAATCATCAAAATTATAAGACTAGAAATGCGGGTCAACTCAGACAGCCTATACTTAGACTTGATGTGTTATTGAAAAATTCTTTGTATGGTAAATTATTCAACAAACTTTCATATATTGTTACTGAATTGAGTCTTGTTTTTTTTTAAAGGAAAGTCAAATAGTCCCTTTTAAGAAATTTTCTTTATTCTGTAGTTACTTTATGTAAAGTACATATTCAGACTGGATAGGTTGTTGATATCATTCATTTCTTACATATAGGTACATGTATTTATATATTTCCGAAATTATCGGTAGTTTGACTCCGTATTGTAAATCACTTCATTAATAATAATGATAAATTCTTCATATCGTTAACACTATTTGTACACAAATTAGTACCAACTGATTATGACTTGTCTCAGATGTATCTTCATAATGAGATCAAATAGAAATCTGGCTATCTATACAGCACACATGCAAGCATTTGATATATTATATTAGCCTAAATTTTCGCTGAATCCGCCCACTAGATCGAAATATTATCAAAATAAAAATGAAAATTTCTTGGTACTTTTTGCAATTTGGATCCTAAGTATAAATCTACTATTTCATTTACATTGATCCAAAGAACGTGATTCGTGGAGAATATAAGCGTATTCTACAAATTCAAGTTCATACTGGTGATTTTATTGAGCTGTGTTACATTGGGATAACACTACTGAAAAATCAAAAGCGACAATATTAGAGGCCCCAAGATACTACCCTAGGGTACACCTGAACTAATTTCATGAAAAATTAGTATTGCAAAGCAGTTCAACCTTTTGAGCTTTACCTGTAAGAGAACTTTTTAGTCAATCTAAAGGACTACCACCAAAATTTGAGTTTACCTGACAATAATTTGAAGTTTACTTAGTGGAATGCTTCACTTTGATCAAGAAAAACCAAAAATATGACCAGGATTTGCCTGGTTAGAACTGGCAATATTACTGTAAACTTTTGAAAAAACCGTATTGATGTAAAGTTTTTGCCGGAAACAGGATTTTACTTCTGGAGGTATGTTCTTGTTCGACTTTGAGCCGTGAAACTTTAAAATTGCTACTCATCAATTCACTGTAACACGTGATTTGGAATAGAATAGGCAACCATTCAGCTTTAAACTGAATCTGTAGCCGTTATAAGATGTAAGAGATATTTAAAAATAAACAAGAAGTTTGTAATAATAGTTTGTAAATGTAATGATACTTTTTCATAAAAAACGCCTTACAAGACAACTCTGTGAAAAATGATTATATGTTTACTAATAGTAGCGAAAACCTTTCTACTAATTACTCTCTATCATTGTTAATGTTCAGAACACGATTTACTTAAAACGGCTGCTTATCTCGCATACAAATACTAATACATTTGAAGTTCCTATTTATGTAATCAATTTCTTACCTCACACCCATAGAATGCAAATATCGGCAAATAAATATCACTTTAAATTAGTCAGGACTAATTACTTTTCAGTGTTTCACTGTCTATCACATCATTTCATTTCATTGTATTATGTATATGTTGTCATCGCATTTATGCGATTATTATATATACTTTGTTCAAAATATGGATTCATGATTTTGATTCACTATTCTGTATAGTGAGTTACAGATGAATACACTGTATGTACTATGGTTTACTGAATACTAGTCTCCTTAATAACAATATTTTATTGAAGTTTGTGGTAAAGATCAATTTTTTTCCAAGTACTAAACTAGGAAAACCCTTAACCCTGCAGGAGACGTGTCAATAATTTTTACATCAATCAAACTTTCTAAATAAATTTTCTTTTCTGATAAGGTGTTACATGAATCATTTATATGGACAAATAGTTATGAAAAGAACGGAAAACAATGTCCTATTTTTGAAACAAAAAAATATCGAATCAAAATAAAAACGGTTTGCATTTTTGGTATCGTTGCACTAAACACCAGGTATAACAATTATTCCGAAAAATTTGCTGTACATGCTTGAAAAACAGATACAAAATGTTCTAGGCATATATATTTTTTACAAAACCGGCATGTATATCTTGTTTTCCAATCTTTACAGAAGGCATATTTTTCACGTTTATTTTGTTCAATTTCGACTTGCTCAGCCAACACAGTAGCACTAATTCTAGCTGCAAGCTGTCGAATTTCTCTTGGCAGATATTTAAATTGTTACCATTTGAATTACTTCTGCATACAGGGTGTAAAACATTTAAGGAAGTGATTCCTCATCGAAGAAAAAGATAGGATCTTTCATATAAAGAAACTTAATATAAAGAAACAGCCCCTTAAAGGGGGTACATAAAATCTGTATAACAATTTTTTTCACAAGCACTGGAGAAGTTACATTATTGAAATTGACCTGACGTTTTGTAGTACCAAAAAGACACTTAGCCAGTAATTTATTTGTTTTACCCCATGGTTGTAAGGGGTGGAAAACGCAACCCCTAAAATTTATTTCCAATGTAACTTTTTGTCTTAGTAATTGTTTATTATTTGAAAATGTATTTCCGATAGCCTGTTTCATTCTAAACAAAAATGCATTTTGGGATTTTTGCCCAAAATAAACCAGTTCGCAACAAAAAATTATTTTACGAACAACTACAGAGATACATCGTCATAAATGCGAACTGGATTTATTGTTATTTTGTAGTTAGTATCTGCATTAAACGATTAAAGGGTAATAAACAATACTAATTTATTAATAACAAAACACACAACATGTAGAAATCATAGTAAATGTTCAATATGTCTACCTTCAGACATTACGCATGCGTCTAGACGTCGGCGCA